CTCAGAGATACGAGCATGCCTTATGCGAAACGGGCCGGACCACCTCGCGCGGCATATCTGGGAGCCCAGAGGCGAGATGATAGCTTAGGCGAAACGCGCCAGACAACCTCGCGCGCGGCATCTCGGAGCTCAGAATTGCGAGGATGTCGCAGGCAAAACTCGCCAGACTAATTACCTCGCGCGCAGCGCCCGGGAGCTCAGAGTTGCGAGGATGTCGCAGGCGAAATGCGCCGGAGTTTCTCCCGGGCGGCGGCTCGGAGCGCAGAGGGCGAAACGAGCTGGGCCACCTCTCGCGAAACGGCCAATCTCGGGGGCGCGCAAACATGGATTAGCGATCCATGGATGTGGCGCGCGGTCACAAAATCCATGGATCGGCGGAGGTGCCCTCCCCAAAATGCGGCCGGTGCCGCCCCGTTCGGCGGCGGAAATCCGCGATGTCCCGTGGAAGCGGGACCTGTCGCTAATCCACGCCCCCTGAATCCATGTTTGCGATCGCCTGACAATCCCGGCCATCTCAGAAACGAGCGTTGTGAGGATGTCTCAGGCGAAACTGGCCGACCCAAATTTCTGAGGATGTCTCGGCGCGCCCGTCCCTCGGTCGGAACCAGCGGCTACAATGACAGCACCCCGTTCAGCAAGCTGCTCTTGGGAAAAACCGATTGGCGGGGTTTTTCTCGTTGGATGCCTCCAAGGGCCCTACAGGGCCCCTGGGACCGTAACAGCAACGATTGGTGATGAAAAGCTGGTCCTGGGGAAGGGGTCTAGACATCTCGGGGGAGTCCACGTTGCGAACCAAATCGCGACATTGGAGATCTGAGTACGGGATGAATCACTTCCTTAGCCCCGACACATCCAAGGTGCACGAGGAGCGCTGAAGGAACAGCCATGGAAAGACGTGATGAACAACAAGCTCCTTGAGAACCCAAGCTGCTCCTTACTTCAGCGTCTTGACTGTAGCGCGTGTCACTGTTTCAGGGGCTGCCACGATGCTGGTAGGCCGAACATTCGGAAAGGACAGGGTGCCCACGGCCTTTCACACCCTCTCACGCCGACATGCCCGTGCGCATGCGCTGACGCGCACGCGCACGACAACCCCTGGACCTCCTTCCCCTCAGACCGAAACCTCCTTCCTCTCCCCATCTCTCCATTCCGCTACCCTTCCCCCTTATCTCTCCAGAACCTCCTGGACCCCCTTCCCCTTCCCAGACATGCGACGTCCTGGATTTTCAGGACGGCGTCCCTGGAAGTCCCGATCCTTTCCCCGGGACCAGTTTTTCGTCCTGCGTCGTATTTTGACGGCCCCGAGGCCCGGCGAGGGCCCCCTGGGGCCGAAAATAACCAAAAACCTCCCGTCCTGTTTTTTGTTTTCTGGGTTGTCTGGGCTCCCCCTTCAGACCGAGACTTCCCTCCTCTCCCCATCTCTCCCTTCCGCTGCCCTCTCTCCGTCGCCCCTGCGCCCGTCCCCGTCTCCCCTCTCTTGTGGTCGTCATCCTCCGTCTCCCCGCCTTCTCTTCCTCTCTCGTGGTCGTAATCCTCCGTCGCCCCGCCTTCCGCTCTTGTGGTCGTCATCCTTCGTCACCGCAGTCCTCCTCCCCCCGCCTCCCCCTTCCTGCTCGTCTTGATCCTCGTGCTTGTCCCATTCCTCCCCCCCCTCCTCCTGACGCCTGACGCTGCTGGCATCCGAATCCCACGAGATGCTGCCATCTCCCCCCCCAGGGGCGGCCGCCCCCGGGGAAGCGGTGTTCACAAGAGATCTTGTAGAAGAAAGGAGCTCCTCCTCCTCCTCCTCCTCCTTCGCCTCCTCCTCCTCATCTTCCTCCTCCTCCTCGTGTTCGTCCTCAACGCCCTCCTTCCGTTTTCCTGCTCGTCCCTCCCCCCCATTTCCGGGGGGAGACCTGCAGAGCGAAGAGGGATCTGGGAGGGGGGGGGGGGGGCGGATCCCCTTCCGGGGGGGAGACTTGCAGAGCGAAGGGGGGTCGGGGGGGGGGGCGGATCGGATCCGGAGGGCGAGGGGGGGTGAGGAGGGCGGGAGAGCGTGTGGGTGGAAGGGGAACGAGGATGGTCAGTTGCTCTTCTGGTTATGCAGGGTGTGGGCAGCACATGCCCCTCACGCCCCAAAAATCCCTTGCCCGCCCCCTCCCCTTGCCCTCGGGGATCTTCTGACCCGGGTCACTCCAGACCCGGTCAGCAGGAAACCAAAAACTGCAATGCAAGACAAAAAAACTGCAACGCAGGTCTTCGCAAACCCGGGTCAGCCAATATGCGCGGCCGCCTCGCGGCCACGAGCGGCTCGCTAACCCGGGTCAGCCAGAGGGGGTCTTCGCAGGATCCTGCAGGATCTGGTGCCCTGGCTGACCCCCATTTGCATTGACCCCCGTCTCAAGGCTCCCGATGACCCCCGCCCTCCCCCGCCCCGTCCCCTCCAGGACCGATCGATGGCCCCCCTCACCTCCGAGCACTCCGCTGCGCAGCACTCCCCTGGGCCTCGCCGCCTTCCCCTCCGCTCCGCTCCCCTCTGCTCGGGGGAAAACAAACCTATCTCGCTTTTGACTTTTGACCGCCCTCGCTTCCAAGAGATACCAAACGATGCCAAATTGCGGTCTGTACTGGTCAGGCCGCTTGACGAGGAGGCGCGTGGTATGGCTTGGTTTTGCGTGGACGCGAAAGCGGGGTAGGTAATTCACGCTCTGATCTGCTCCCCTCCCCCGACTCCCTCTCTATGCCCTCATCACCCTCTCTCTTTTTTTTTTGCGGGAGACGACCAACCCCCATTATGAGATGCTGGGAGAAGGCGCACTCGATAACTCCCAGTATGAATAATCGATTGGATAATGAGAACGCTCGGGTTCGATTACTCTCTCGTGCTTCCCCCCCCGCCGCGGGCCTGCTTGGCGTAGGCGTTGCCGGCCTTGAACTTTTCCTCGACGTCGAACTTGGCGTCGAACATCAGGATCGTGTTGGAGAGCTCCTGCGTGCGGGGAGGAGAGGAGAGGACCGAAGGTGGGAAGGAGGGAGGACCGTGTGGAATGCGGATGGGGGAAGTTAGGACGGGATTCCTTGGGGGAGGGAGAAGGGAGGGGTAAGGGACAGAGATAGAGAGCGAGAAAGAGAGAGAGAGAGAGACTGATATAGAAAGAGATAAAGATATATATATATATACATACGGAGGGAGATAAGCACATGTACATACATGTGAGTGACCGAAAAGAAAAAGAAAGAGAGAGAGAGAGAGCACAGCAAACAATACTACAGTGGAGGAGGGGGACGGAAGCAGAGAGCGCGTCCTTGGCGGCGATCGGCGCAAGGGCGGGGTCGTCGAGAGCAGTGACGAGGGAAGCAACATTGTAGCCACCGACCATCTTGCCCAGCATCTCCACTGCCAACTCGGGGTCGCAAAGCTTCTCTCATCTCTCCCCTCCCTCTCCCCCCCCTCCCACTCCGTCTCCCGCCTTCCGTCCATACGTCGGCCCACCCACCCACGAACCTTTTATGTACGGCATCTGCATACGATATTCAAAAACAGTTCTGGCCAACTGTAAGGAGTCTAAGGGGAACATGTTAAAAGGGGCCCTGGGACACACAAATAAATACACAAAAATATCCGGATTCCCGATAATTGCCCATATTTTCTGGGTTATTGTCTTCCCCCCACTTCCCATATTTTCCCATATTTTCCCATGAGTCGACGATTAATTGTGTCTGTTTTTTTTTGTTCCCTCCTGACATGTGTCGCCGTCGTCGTCGTCGATCCTTGAGCCTCTTGCGGCGACCGCGGGCTTCTGCGGATCCTCGGGGCCACCGTGGGAAAAAGCACCTTCCGCGGGGCACCTGCCGGCAGGCTGCCCTCCTGCTTCATGCGCCTGCACGTAGGTCGGGCCTTCCCCCTACAGGGGGATTCTGGGCGACAAAGGAGAAATACCACCTAAAATCAATCAAGTCCTAAGAAATGGTCATTGAAATCGTCCCCAGACTTTTTTGGACCATTTTTGAACCTTCCTGTTTGATGCGCCTACACCTAGGTCGGGCCTGTCCCCCTACAGGGGGATTCTGGGCGAAAATGGAAAACAATACCACACGAAATCAAACAAGTCCCCAGAACTGGTCATAAAAGTCGTCCCCGCACTTTTTGGGGACGATGTTTGAACTTGCCTCCTGGAGAGGGACAGGCCCGACTTTGAAGTCTACGCCGCACTCCGAGGGGAACAACAAAAAGCACAAACACACAACCTTTCGGAGGCCCGCTCGGATTCCTTAGAGCTTGGGCGCCCGAGTTATCCGGGATAACTCGGGTCCGGGGTAACTCGGGTTCGGGTTCCCGAAAAAGAGACCCGAGTTATCCCTGACCCGAGTTACCCCTGATGATTCTGGGGCTCTGGACGCCCGAATTATCCGGGGTAACTCGGGTCCGGGGTAAGTCGGGTTCGGACTCCCGAAAAACGAACCCGAGTTATCCCTGACCCGAGTTACCCCTGATGATTCGGGGCTCTGAAGAGCTGCGCTGGGCCCCCCCTTCCCGGTGCGCGGAGCGTGCCAGGGCCGGCGCCAAAGGCGCCGCCGGGAGGGGCCCAGCGCCGACGCGAGCAATCCGCGCGGCGTTCCGAGCGATGATGCGCTGGCTGCATCTTCGGCCACTGCACATCCAGCTGACCACCTAGGGCTCCCAACTTCGCGCTTCGCGCTGCGCGAAGCGCGAAGCGCGAATAACTTCGCGCTCTCGCGCCGCCCTCCCAAAGGGAGAATAGGAGGACGAGGAGGAGGAGGAGAAGGAACGAGGACCGCGAAGCGCGAAGCGCGAATAACTTCGCGCCCTCGGGGGAGCCCTTGACCACGGCAGGCTCGCGTTGTGCCGACTTCGGCGCCGGTTTTCCTGACACCGCGGGGATCGTGCAACCTCGAACGATCCGCCGACTCCGAAACGTCAGAAAGCTCAGCATCGACCGATCCTGGGCCGCCGCCGGCGTCCAACCTCGAACACGCCGGCGGCGGGGCCGCCGCCGGTCGACACGGCGCGAACTGACCGAACCCGCGCATCGATCGTCCGTCGCCCTCGCTCGGCCCCGGCCGCCTCCTTGCTGATCAGAGGCGACGCGGCCTCGCCCTTGGCCACCGCAGCAAGGAAGGCGGCCTCTCGGGGGGGAGGGGGCGGGGCGCGGGGAGAGCGCCAGGGGAGGGGGAGGGCCGGCGCTCACGCCCAAGCAGAGGGCGCTCACGCGCGGGGACTTCTCCGTATCCGCCGCATGGGAACCGACGTTCTGGTGCCCCCGCGGGCGGTGGACGTGGACATGCTTCGGCCCCCGGGGGCCCGATGATGTCCATGGCCACCGCCTGTCGAGGCCCCGGAATTTCTGACCCTCCAGGCGGTGGTCACGTGAAATTCCCGCCTCCGAAGAGGAGAGATCCAGAACAAGGGACGGGGAATAAGTGCAGCAATTCCGCATCGCTGCTTATCTTTTCTTCGTTTCTGATGCTCTTCGGGACGAGGGGGGGGGGGCCGGAAAGAAAAGGAGGAACAGGTTTGCAGGTACAGTAGCGGTCCGACCACAAGAGGCCTTCCACAGGAAACCCAACTCTGAGACCTAAGGACGCCCATCGACTTTTGGTGTGGGACCGTCACGCTCGCCGTGGCAAAACCATCGAAACCGAAGGAACCTAGGGCACCCTGGAGGTAAGCAGCATGTTCCTTGGCATGGACCTCCACTGTAGGGCCGCACGGTGACCAGCAAGACAGATGCTGGTAAAGGCGTAGCCGCGCCGAAGCAGGGCAGGAATGGAAAAGAGGCCGGGATCGGCAACACCGCATTCTGGAGCGGTGTACTGCAGCCTGCAGGGGGGCGGATCAGGAGGAGGGGGAACGGAGGGCGATATTTACGGTGGAGGCTTTGGATAAGGAACCCGTAGATAAGGAATTCAGGGTCTGGTGGCCGGTGGAACTCCACTCGAGGCTTGGCCATGGATATCACCACCGCCCTCATAAGATAAGGAATCCTCCAGGGTCTGCAGCATCCTGGGCGCATTCCTTCACCAACGCCCCCACAGTACGCGAAGTAAGAAGCAGGACGTGGAGGCGGATGGATGAGAATCGTCTTCCACGTCCTCGCCTTCCCGCTTCTTGCCCCTCTGTCTCGTCTTCCTCCCCCTCCTCCTCCTCCTCCTCCTCCTCCTCCTCCTCCTCATCCTCATCCTCATCATCATCACCACCATCACCATCACCATCACCATCACCATCACCATCATCAGCATCAGCATCAGCATCAGCATCAGTATCATCATCATCATCATCATCATCATCATCATCATCATCATCATCATCATCATCATCATCATCATCATCATCATCATCGTCATCGTCATCGTCATCGTCATCGTCATCGTCATCGTCATCGTCATCAGCATCATCATCATCATCAAAATCAGCATCATCATCATGTTCCTCATTATCCTCATCATCATCATCATCCTCATCATCATCAGCAGCATCATCAGCATCTTCAGCATCATCAGCATCATCAGCATCCTCCTCCTCCTCCTCCTCCTCCTCATCATCATCAGCATCCTTATCCTCCCTCTTCTTCTCCTCCTCCTCTGCTCCTTCTCCTCCTCCTCCTCCTCCTGCTCCTCCTCCTCATCCTCCTCCTCAGCATGCTTAGCATCTTCCTCCTCCTCGTTCATCCCCTCCTTCCCCTGGCGGACAGCAGGGAAGCACACGGCCAGCGGCGGGAGAGGCAGCGGGGCGTGTCCTTCACGTACGAGGCGTCGTCCACGCCAGGCGGCACGCGCGTCGCGAGCAGCTCCTTGGCGAACTCCGCCTGCGGAGGCTCCTCCGCCTCCTCCTGGACTTGGGTCGTGCGTGTCACCCTACAGGCGGAGCTTGGGCGACAAATTATCAATACGGAAAAAATGCCCCCAAAGAGTCGAGAAATAGTCGAGAAATAGTCAAACAATCCTCCCCCGGCTACTTTTGGACTCTTTTTGAATGCTCCTCCTGTAAAGGGACAGGCCCGACTTACTCTCAGACGAGGCCAGGACAGGGACGACATCGGACGGGGACGAAGTCGGGGATCTCTGAAATCGGGTGGCCCTGGAGGCCCCCGGGAGGCCCCAGGAGGCGTCGACGAAGCCCCCGAGGGGGCCCCAAAAGAGGCCAAAGAGAGCCCCCAAAGAGAACTCTCCCAGAAAAGCCAACATGGTCAATTGATTCATCGATGGGATTCCTGAAGTCTTTGTGTTTTCCGTCGTCGTCGTCGTCGTCATCTTCGTCGTCGTCGTCGTCGTCGTCGTCGTCGTCGTCGTCGTCGTCCCCGTTCAGGGTCGGCGGCGCCGGCCGCAAGGCCTGTGCAATCGGACCGCCACACATCGGGGATCTCGGAGATCAGGTGGGCCCCGGTCCTCCTCCCCAGGCGGGGGGGGGTCCCAGGGGGGAGTCCTTTTCCCTCCTCCTCCTCCTCCTCCTCCTCCTCCTCCTCCTCTCCTCCTCCTCCTCCTCCTCCTCCTCCTCCTCCTCCTCCTCCTCCTCCTCCTCCTCCTCCTCCTCCTCCTCCTCCTCCTCCTCCTCCTCCTCCTCCCCATGCCCCACCTCGTCCTCCTTATCCTCCTCCTTCTCTCCTCCTCCTCCTCCTCCTCCTCCTCCTCCTCCCTCCTCCTGGCATCGGCGACACGTCGCCTGTTAGCTCGGCGCGAGGGGCCCCCGACGGCGCGTCCGCGCCTCCACCGGGCGGGCGGGGGCCCTCGGGCCCCCGTCGGCGATGCGTGGGCCACTGGGGGGCCGAGGCGTCCCCCCCCTCATGTGCCCATGCCCCTGGCTTCCCAGTCCTCGACCCCAAAGGAGAAGGACTGGAGGGGGAGGAGGAGGAGGAGGGGGAGGGGGAGGAGGAGGAGGAGGGGGAGGAGGAGGAGGAGGAGGAGGAGGAGGAGGAGGAGGAGAGGAGGAGGAGGAGGAGGAGGAGGAGGGAGGAGGAGGAGGAGGAGGAGGAGGAGGAGGCCGGAGGAGAAGGAATGGAGGAGAGGAGGAGGAGGAGGAGGAGGAGGAGGAGGAGGAGGAGGATAAGGAATGGAGGAGGAGGAGGAGGAGGAGGAGGAGCAGGAGGAGGAGGAGGGGAGGAGGGAGGAGGAGGAGGAGGGGATGGGAGGGAGGGAGGGATAATGATGAAGGAAGAAGGAGGCCATCCCCCTGGCTTATCGTTGCCACTGCCCCTGACCCCTGGCTTCCTGGTCGGCCGCTCGGGAGGACCTGGCAGGCCCCACGGAGCGCTCCCTCGAGCGCGCCCCGAGACCCGGCCACGTCCAAGCACCGAAGGGAGCTTTCGAAAGCCTCCCCACCCTCGTTGAGCAGGGCCCGGGCGGCCCGGCACTCCTGTAGGCCTACCACGACCTGCGCTCAGAACCCAGAAATGCCCCGAGAGCAAAAGCAGCGTTCTTAGAGCACAAGCCCGACGTGTGCATACAGAACAGACTCAGCCAGGAATGCTGCAATACCGTTCCGTGCGGACCACAAACTGTTTGAGGCTCTGAGTGCACTCTTTGGTGGGCCCATAGGCAAGCCAAGACGACACGCTGCCACTGCTTCACCTCGTCGTCCGCCCCCTCGTCTTGGGGGGGGTGGGGAGCAGCGTCGACCGCTCTCGCCCGCATGCGAGCGGCCACCCCCTGCGGACGGGGCTGCACGCGGCCGCCAGAGCTCCACCTCCCCGCCCCCGCAGCGCGCTCCTCTGCTCACCCGGCGCTGCCGCGACGTCCCGCTCCTGCGGCTGCGCCTGCGCCCACGTGTTCCCGCTCTTTTGGACGTTGCTTAAAGGGGGGGGGCAATAGATTTGGCGGATTCCGGACACTTTTTTGGGTCTGCGGGTCGAGAGCGGGCCTCTTCCGGTTAAGAGCTAGGCGGGGCGCGCAAAGCACTAATTGGGGAGACAGGGCGCGGGCGGGCGGGGCCTCAGGCGGCCGGAGGGTACGGGGTGCAGGCGCGGATTCCGGACACCGTAGACCCAAAAACGTTGTCATCTCCTGGGGGGCGCACCTTTTGCGTCCGCCGCCTCCCGCCGAGCTTCCGCCGGCGGAGGCGGCCTCGTTTTTTACTTCCGCCGAGCCCTCCCGCCGCGGAGGAGATGGCAACTCCTCCGATCCTCGAAGGCAGGGCCCCTTTTGGTTGTGCATGCCATGATAATGGACACCCGAACTATCCGATCATCGAAATAAAAAGGTTGGAACATGTTTTAAATGGCTTAAACATGTGTAGGACATGCTAGGTTACATGTCTCAGACATGTCCCAAGCATGGCTTGGTCATCTGTAAATTATTTGGCAACGTGCTTCCTCCCTATGGATCGTCGTCCACAACTTGTTGGAACGCCCCAGAGAAAGAGGGGGACGGGGGGGGGAGACGCGTGCACCTTACCTGCCCTTCTTGGGCTCCAAGGGGCTGCACCTCTCGTCACCCCCCCCCGGCTGACGCCGCGCCCGACGCTCTCGCGCCCCGTCTGCGCTCGGGGCTGCCTACCCCGCTGCCTGCTCCCTGCTCGCGCCGGCAGGCCTCGCGTGCGGCAGGCAGCCCACTTCTGCTGCCGCTCCTGCCCCTGCTCCGTGTGAGCAGCTGGAGTGATGCTCACGATACTTGTCCCTCGTATGCTCCTGCACCTCTTCGCTTCCGGTGGTGCTCCTCCAGGCGGGAAGTCGTGCTCAGCAAGTCGCTGCGGCGGCCCTGGCGACACGCTGTGCCCTGCGAGCGGGGCGGGAGGCTCGGGAATGATCGAGACGCTGACGCCAGAAGACTGGACGTGGATAGCGTGTCGCACCGAGGCATGGTGGGAACTGGCGGAGCGACACGCTACGCAAAAGTTCCCGACCGTAGTATTCTGTGCTCCTGCTTGCTCCTGATGTTCCCACTTGTTCTCGTCCTCCTGCTTGTCACCCTGCTCCTCCTCGACCAACTTCCAACATCATTCCTGATTTCCCTCCACCCCTACCCCCATCCGTCCCTCATTGGCTCCCTCTCCTCCCAACGATCTCCCTCCTCAGATCCGTTGCCCTAGCCTCCCTCTCCTCCTGCTCTTGCCCACTCCCATCCCCTCAACCTCTGTCCTTCACCATTTCCCACCACCTCCTCCCCCCCCTCTGCACCCACATCCTCTCATCATCGTCATCTTCATCTTCATCTTCATCATCATCATCATCATCATCATCATCATCATCATCATCATCATCATCATCATCATCATAATCAGAATCAGAATCATCATCATCATCATCATCATCATCATCATCATCATCATCGTCATCGTCAGCAGCATCAGCATCACCATCAGCATAATCAGCGTCATCAAAAGCATCATCGCCACCATCATCAGCATCGTCGTTATAAACAGCATCATCATCAGCATCATCAACATCATCATCATAATCATCAGCACCAACACCAGCATCAGCATCGTCGTCATCATCATAAGCATGATCACCCTCATCATCATCAAAAGCATCGTCATCATCATCATCACCATCATTATGGTCGTCGTGATCATCCTCAGCATCATCGGCATAGCCAGCACTACCATCACCACCATACCCCCACTGTTGTTATACATCATCATGAGCATCTTTATTTTCCTTCTTCATCACCACAATCGCAAGCACAATCACCAACTTCATGATCATCAGCAGCATCGTCAACATCAGCATCAACATCATCAGCATGACCATCACAGTCGTCATCACCATCAGCAGCACCATCATCGTCACAACTACCAACATCATCATCATCATCACCATCATCATCATCAACAGCATCATCATCATCATCATCATCATCATCATCATCGTCATCAAAATAATCATCATCATCGCCATCCTCATCATCACCAGCACCGTCATCACCAGCAGCATCATCTTCGGCATCATCAGCATCATCGGCTAATCATCATCATCATCACCATCATCATCAGCATCATCATCAACAGCATCGTCAACATCAACATCATCATCAGCCTCACCATCACCATCATCATCATCACCATCACCATCACCATCACCATCATCAGCATCATCATCATCATCATCAGCGTCATCAGCATCACCACCATCTTCAGCATCATCATCGTCGTCATCGTCATTGTCATCGTCGTTTTCATCATAATCATCATAAGCATCGTCATCGCCATCGGCAGATATCTTTGTGATCCTCCAGCTCATCCTGCAGATCTCAACATGGACCCACGGCCACGAACTCGACGCGCCACCCTCTCGCTCCTGCCCGTAGCCTTCAGTCGGGCCTGTCCCCCTACAGGGGGAGACGAAAAATAAAAAAAAATATATCAAACATAGTCAGGGGACTATTTTGTAAGTACTTTTTGACCTTTTCGGGGTATTTTTATTCTTTGTCGTAAATCCCCCTGTAGGGGACAGGCCCGACTTAACCGTAGCCTCCCCTCCTCTCCCTGCCCGTCGGCCTCAGGGTCGCTGGGCCTCTTGAGGATCTCCACCTCGGGCCCGGCAGATCCCGTGGCCCCCGAGCCGGCAGAAGGCCAGGCCGACGACTGAGAAGGAGGAGGGGGGGGAGGAGGAGGAGGAGAAGGAGGAGGAGGAGGAGGAGGAGGATGAGGAGAAGGAGGAGGAGGAGGAGGGAGGAGGGGGAGTAGGGGGAGGAGGAGGAGGAGGAGGAGGAGGAGGAGGGAGGAGGAGGAGGAGGAGGAGGAGCCGAAGCGAGGCGCGGGGCCCCTGGCGCGCGCGAGGCCGGGGCGGGGCGCTCGAGCCGGCCGGTCCAGGCCACAGGCGAGGAAGCGCAGGGGCGGAGAGGGGGAGCGCAGGAGGGCAGGTAAAAGAAG